TGAAAAGTGTGCTGCTGGAGCTATTGAGATGACTATGATATCTTTTGGGGAAGATGCACACTTGCAGCCCTTTGATGATGGTTCTTCATTTGATAGCTGCAAAAGTAACCTTTTGACATCAGAGGAAAACAACAATTTTTGCAGTGGTTGAGGATTTAAATGAACTTCCTGACCTTCAAAATGTTGTACCAATTATGTCAAACAAATTTGGATTGTCTGTTAATGAGGAAGTATCAAGTTATGTCAAGATTAAGCTGTCAGATAACAATCATGATTGTTATAATGATATGATCAGGCCTGACAATGAACAAAGTGGCCAAGCAACCTCTTTGAATGTTGGGTTGTCTTCATTGAGTGAAGATCAAATTTCTAGGGCAGGAATACCTGCAAGTCACAGGCATTTTGCTCTTTGAATGAGGAATCAACATCCTCTGATTCAATTAAAACAAATCATACTTTTTCAACTGGAAGTGGCTTACACGAAGAAAACAGATTGGAGAGTGATGTGCGGTAGGAATTAAACAGTGTCATGATCCCTGTGGAAGCGAAGGGTAGAACAACTTCGCTGTAAGCATCTAAGACCAATCTTAATACAGATTTTACATTACACTTGTTCATGGTTTCTGCAAACTTATATGCTTTTTAAGAATTTTTAAATGTCATAACAGTTTTAGAAATATGCTCAAGTCTGACTTGTTTTATGGCAGTGAGAAAACTGGAAATGACACAAAACAAGATGCTCCTTTAATAAAGCCCCCTCTGGGTGCTGTTTCGTTTTCAGATGAACGGTTAGCTGCTTTTGAAGCTGTCGGAGAGGTAATTTTATTAATTTTATTTTCATTTATTCCATGAAGCTGACGATTGAAGTTGCTCTTGTCATGATACTCGATCTAGAGTAATTAAGTTGTTCGGTTTAATAACCATCAAATTTACCTAAATTGCAAATTGAGTATGAACTTGAAAATAAAAAAACTTCACTTCTAGTTTGATTGACAATTAATAGCAAAAAAACATTTTAAGAATACGTGTTTTCTTCTTTTGGCCAATTTCAAGAATGAGTTTAGCCATGTCTAAAAATGCCGTTGTATCACTCAGGAAATCCTAACAATGAAAAGTGATGCTGTGCCAAATTCACCCAAGGACAAATCTCTTCTTGAACCTGGTCCATGGTCCCCGTTTAGGAATAGTAACTTAAAAGATTTATTTGAAATTGATTAGATATTATTTTATGAATAAAAAAATTTACAGAAAAAAAATTCTATGAAAAAAAATATTCTTAATATTAAGTTTGACTTGCAGAAGAATAATTTTAAAAGAAAATGAATTCTTAATAGACAAGTTTATATATTTATAAATAGATGAAGTCTCTATAGGATATTAGAAAAATATGTAAGAAAATTGTATGATTTTATGATATAGATACCCCATAAAATTACTAAAAATTTACGTCTTATTGGTGTATATGTTTGTATGTTTGTTAGTAGATTAGAAGAGACTGAGAGAGTAAACATACGTATAATGCATGTGAGTGAACTAAAAGAGATTAAGATGATTCACTTAGGTATGATATATAGGTGTACAAAGATATGTGTTTTTTTGATGTGAGAATAATCGATAGGACTAGAAAAGATTAAAAGAGTTTATGTGTATTAATTGTTAAATAAGATTGATTTGATGTTTTTATATAATTCTCTATAACTAGTATATATTTTTTCTTATTTATAGACATAAGTCAGTTAAATCGAACTATATTAAATTATTGTATCTTATATGATTGATTGATTGTTCGATTATATTTTTGTTAGTGTAATTGAATTGAGACTTTTTAATCCAACAAGATCTACTTCCTTTTAAAGATTAGAAATGCTATGCAATGTTGCCTTGTTTTTGGTTGTCGAAGCTTAAATAACTGATCAAATATAATAGCGGTTGTTTTAAATATGAAATTGCTAAGAAGTAATGAAAGTATCGGACTTATCTCATTGGTAAAATATGTCCTCCGCCTCCTTGGAGGATGGACTTTCTGTGGCTGAAGCCTAAACCCAAGATGAAGAGGCCTCGTGTAACTGATCTCAATCTTTGGGGATTAAGGCTTCATTTCTGTTGATTGTTGGTATCTCCATTTTCATTCTTTTCTATTTCTCATATTCTTTTGCAACTCTACACCATTTTGTTCCAGGAGATATGTATTTGACGTTTGTTTAGTGATTAGTGTGCATATTGTATCGATCATTGTTTATAGTCATGGCTTGAGACCTACAATTTTCACTTGTAAAATGTGCAACTAATGCCAAAAACTAACGTGATTTTCAGGTGGGAAAGAAAAACAATCAAGGGATTGGACCATTTGACTGAACAAAGTTCCCAAACACAAACATCCCGCCTGGTTCTGATTGACGGAGACCTAGATTTGCATAATCATTTTTTTTTACCGCTAACAATAATGATAATTGTACCATCACGCAACACCTAACAAAGTTATGACGGTTGAAGCACATATAACTGCAGCAATTTTGGCCACATCTAAAAACTGGTTCAAAGTCCTTCTGTTTTGTTTCAGTTTCGTCCGTTCTCAACTACGCTTAAAAGCGCAGATTTATACTGCTGATAAAACAAAATTTTCTATCATCTCTAGTGGGAGATTCTCAACTTCATCTTTCTCTGCCTTCCTACCTTTTTTTACTATTTATTTGGTTTACATATAAAAGCATTATGAGTTAAAATTAAATAATCCTTAGAGTTTTTATTGTTTTATTATAATTAATTAAATTTTTTAATTTTTATTTTTGTTTAATTAAGCTTTTAAATATTTATTTTTATTTAATAAAATTTTTAAATGAATGAATATTGATTATGGTTATAAATAAATTTTTCTTTAATTAAGAATTCAATTAAGTGAAAATAAATGTTTGAAGATTTATTTTATTATAATAAAATGATACTGATTTCTATGATTATTTAATTTTAATTGCATATTTTACAAAAATTTATCTTAAAATAATCAACTCACACATTATTTATGGGACGTAAGAAATATATGATTGAATTTTTTTTTAAACAATTGGGTTTGAATATTTCATTTTTTAAGTCTTAAAAAAAAAAAAAACCATAACCATATAATTTTCTCTATTTGCTTGGATAAGAAGATTTTAGTTCTGTCGTGGTTTGGTTTCATTATGATTAAATCCGATCATCAATCAAAATGTAAGTAAAAAAGAAAAAGAAACCTTGGCTTGCATTCTTGACAGTTTATGTGGGTTTTTTTTTTTTTTTCTTCAACTTTAAGATATTTCACCTGAAAATCGTCCTCTTTCAGTATAAACTCTCTCAAGTATCACCTTTGAATTTACCACGTATGAAAGTCCACTGCCTTTCTCAATATATGATTTTCCCAACGGCAAAAGATTTTTCTTGATTTCTTTCTTTCTTTCTATTTAAGTATTTCAGTGTCTTTCAAGTCTTTCACTCTTCCTTTCTTGATTTTCCAGTTGTCTTTTCCCAATACGCAAACCGCAAAACCTTTCTTGTTCAGAGTTCTGACTGTTCTAAGCAATTGCCTGCCATGACATTGGCTTCACAACTTACCCTTAAACAGCTTCAAGAATTTCACAACATTGACCGCAAGGCATATTCTAGACTGGTTATAGGCCTAGGCTTCGACCCTTTCCCATCCATGAAAATTGTTGGCTTTTGGAATTTTCTTGAAAGAACAGGCTTTAAAAACTTTGTCAACAACCTCCAACAATTACCTGATGCATTGCTTTCTTCTTTAGCCAAAGAGGCCCTAATGTGCTTAGCCTGCTTATATTGTTCTACTCAAGAAAATTTTCCATGGGTCGATATGGATTTCCCAGTGATGAGCAAACTTGTTGGTCAAGATATCTTGTTGGGTTATCTTTTTAAGAACAGGCCAAGTGCTAGAAGCATGATTGAGGACTTTGTGAAAGATGTGTGCCAAATAGCGTTTGTTGATATAGTTCTAACTCACTTGGCTTCCAAGAAATCTTCAAAATCTAACAGTGAATTACAATGCCAAATTTTTTATGGGGGAGACAATGGGGAGCTTTTAATGCAACAGAAGTTGGCTACAGAGGATAAGGCCAGAATTGACTCAGAAGACCGAACATTGTTCATGACTTTCTCTAGGGGACATCCTGTTTCAAACCATGATCTTCATGGTTTCATCGTAGGGAAATTTGGCAAATGTGTGGAGGCAATCTATATGGATCAAAACCCAAAGCCGCTGTTTGCTTGTGTCGTTTTACGGTCACTTTCAGACATGTCAAGGATTCTTGGGGGTAAGAAGCTGGTGAAACTCTTCATTCATGGGAAGCAAGTTAGGGCTAGAAGATTTGTCCCAAAAAGTTTGAAGCAGTCTCAGTGAACAGCAGCAAGATCAACAGTTTTTCCTATGAAAGCTGCTTAGCAGTTTTTCCTAGAGGGATGATCATGTAATATTGTACTAATTTAGTGCTAGTCTCTAGCAGGTGTAGTTTCAGGACATTATTTGGCTTTTTTTAAAATAAAAAAACTGTTTATACAATGAATTGCAGATTTAGGACAAGGTTCCTAGGGCTAGGAAGAGAAAACACAAAAATTGGGCAGAGTTGTATCTGACAACCCCACTAACTTGCTAATACAAGCGGTGTACTTTGATGTTTTCAATTAAATTTTAGTTGGATAATCAATATTTGGAAATTTAAATTTCTCTTGTTTCCTTCATCATCATCATCATCATCATCCTTTAACAGCATTATAACAACTAACATTGTTTTCTTCCATCTTATGATCGTGTAAAGTGAAGGGTCCTTCACGATTTTCAAAAATGGAACATTCGATATGAGGCCTGTCAACACAATCATACCTGAAGCTGTCTGTTTCTTTGCACTGTAATGGCTTTTGGCTTGATGGCAATAATGTAGCGTCCAGATATTCCTGTGACCAAAATACTTCTAAAACGGATAGGCAAGGCTAGCTTGGCTACCCGATTAGCCGTTCATTGTACAAAAAGAAACAGGAAAATAGTGATATATATCAATGCAGTTTGACTTTCGAAATGAAATGCTTTCTGTATATTTGGATATGATTATCATTACACATTTTTAATTGCATCTAATTGCATATTCTTCTCCATCATCATTGCTTTTAAAAGCTGTGAATGGTCATTCCCATCCTTTATGGTTCGATGTCCCAGAAAAAAGTTGAAATGCTTCTCGAATTCCAACAAATCTTGTTCTTGAAATAGGGAGAGGATGATATAGGCTTACACCATGACTATGTTCTAAGTTCCTTCAACTTCAGCATCATATCTCTGCGTTAGAACTCTCATTATTAATTTTACTCCCTTCCTCCACACTCTGATACTTGTAACACTTGGCACAGAATAGAAAATAAAAAAAGTTGAACATTTGCATCATTGCAAACATCAAATAGACATTCCCTAGCCTTCCTTTGTTTATATTGTCCGGTAACCATGTAGTAACCCTGCGAACTAGATCAATCACGGCAGTGCTAAAATAGTAGGCGATTCCCACCACTACTGAAATCATTGCAGTTGCTGTGCTTCTCAGTGGCTTTGGAAATTCTTGATAGTACAGTGTGACTTGTCCTGGATAATGGAATGCTTCTCCAAGTCCAACCAACACTAACTGTGGCACCAACCACAGGACAAACATAGGAACAGTGGACCCTGGCTGGTCTGAAAGATGGTGGATTTGAGCTAATTTTAACCTTTTTGATTCAACGAGGGAAGCAACAGCCATCCCTGTCATGTTAAACAAGTGGCCAAGTCCTATTCGTTGGAGCGGCATTGGTGATCTGCGAGTTATCTTCTGCCACAGGGGAAAAAGGAATCGGTCGATGAGAGTGAGATTGATGGCAGTTGAGGTTAGTATGAATACTATCATAGACCCTGCTGGGACTTTTAAATTTGGCCCAAGATGGCGATCCACGGTTAGAGCTTGGAGGATTGTCAAGGAACTTACAACCGGTAGTGTGATGCACAACAAAATACTACTTGATAGCAACGGGAAAATTCTTAATAGACTTTTAAGATCCTCAACTTGTTGTACTGAGCACAACCTCCATGATTTTGCAATTGATCCATCCACCTTGGTGTCTCCTTCAGTTTCCAATGCGGCATGGTTTAAAAACCTGCAATTCTTAATTGGTACAATGTTACAAATATGGCAATCAAGGCACTTCAATTGATATACTAAATAAGAATTCTAAAGACAGAATTGAGATCTCTGGCTTCTGTTAAATTTGCATAATTTTAAACTGAAGTTTTGCTCAAGATATTTTAAATGAATAATTAGCATCTTTGATCAATATTTAACTTTTAGTTGTGGAATTTCAAAATGTTGAAAATAACTCATACCGGAAGGTTTTAGTTGGCATTGAAGCTCTGTTCTCCGTTGGTCCATCTTTCTGATGGTAGTAATCTTCAGCTCGGGATGAAAGAGGAACCTTCCTCTTGAGAATGGTTGCAATGACGACTTGAGCTAATCTTGTGAAAGGACTCCCCTGAGGTTTCACATTTCGATAATAACGTCTTCCTAACAATAGAATGGCTAATCCAATAACGTTGACTGCAACACATAGGCTGTATCCTAATGCCCAACTTATATTTTCCTCAACATAAACAATTACTGTAGCACCTAATACCATAGAGGTATACAAAGTGACAGCAAACCAATTGAAGAAAATCCTTTGATCCTTGGAATTATCAAATTGATTAGCTCCCATAGCTGCAATGGTGAAGCGAGTGCCTGCCACCCCTATACAGGCTAGTGCTATGCCTGAATAAAGGACCGAAAATTGGACTTTTGATGGGGTTTGGCAAATGCTTGATCCAATTTGACATGGTTGAGGCCTTAAAGGGTCAAGCATGGCAGTTAAGGCTATAACGAGAATCCCCTGCAAATGCAGTGGCAATTGGTATTAAGAAAGTTTGTCATCGGAGGATTACATTTCAGACTAGGAATTTAGTTTGAATAACTATTGCTTCTTTTACTTTATTGTTTCTTTTAGCTTTCATGCTTTACAACATTGCATAAAGAGGAGAAATAGAAGATGTGAATGTATCGATCCAAAAAAAAGATGTGAATATGGGCAAAAGATTGCGGTACAAAGTGCTATTCTCATCTTTATTAGTGGGAAAGAAATATTGCAAGGCTACTGCAACATTTTGGCTGCATCCTTGGCTATTAACAGGCAAATCACCCTACTGTGCTCACAGAGCCTATTCCAACGGAAATGGTATAACACCAAAAAGTTCTTAGAGGTGTAGCCATTTAGGTTTGCTCTGAAGGTTCTAGTTATTAGGTGGCTAAGTTATGATTGAGACCTACATATAGACCAGGTGAACTGGCTAATACAGGAAAGGATTCGAAGATGCCAATGCTAGAAACATGACATCCATAATATCAAGGTTGATACGCCGCCATCGTGTCGACAGAAGAAAGAAAGCAAGCTCTAGACATATTGTCAGACTAATAAAGTTAAGTTAATGATGAGCTAAAACCTTTTTTCATCCATTTTCCAAGAGAAACAGTAACTATTTTACGTTAATATCCATATGTACCATATTGTCAGACAAGTCTCTTTTCTTCATTTGTACCAATACCTCAATAGCATGGTATGCGTTTGAAATTGTGTAATGACTGATATATAGTATGCTTAGCCAGATACTGAAGAAGCCATTCTCATTCTTGTTTCTTCTTTAACTAGTAAAATTGTTTTGTGTAAAGGAAGGCTATTACCAGGATAGAGACAAGAGAAGACATCCAGATGACAGAATAGCATCCTAAAAGGGAATCAGCAAGAATTGCTCCAATTACTGGAAGTAGACTAGTGGACGCAGCTGCAATGTTAAAAGTCTGAGTAGCATCAATGCTCCTCACATGGAATTTTTCTATCATATACACAATTAAGTTGTTTGCCCATCCTGATAGAGCTATGCTCGATCCCATCAGGGTCCCTGGTTTTAGTGAAAAAAAAAGAAAAAAAAATGGTTTTACTTGTCAGTACAAGGTTGGGTGACACACTTCAACAGATAGAAGAAAGAGAGGGGGTGGGAGAGAGACAGACCAGCAATGAAGGGGAAAGCCGTCCAACCGCCTTGTTTTCGAGCAGAATCTGGCAATATTTGTGCCTCTCCATTGCCAGAGAGTTCACCACCCATGTTGCTGATGAACAAATATTTGCTGAAACTTTGAGCTAGATATGTATGTTCTACTTAATGGAAGTCATTATATAGAATGCAAGAATGCTGTTACATATTCTCCACCAGCTGAGTTCTCAGCTTCTCTCCTTGTCAGTGAAAAGATAAAGTCATCCATGAACTCCTATGGTTGCGCATCAAGCCAAGATATGGGGCATAAAAATCAAAAGGATTATGGTGGCTCACAACATCAACAGTGAGCAGTAGAAGTTGCAATTTAGAAAGTTGGTCTTCTGTATGGTTGACGATAGAATTTTGTTGGGTTTTTCTTATCAGAATATATGTGACAACTATCATACAATTACTTCACCATTTTTCTATCCAATGACAAAAGAGATGCCAATGCAACTTATAGAATCAGATGCCTCTCAAAGCAAATTAGTTTTATTCTCACCATTTCTCCAATTATTTTTGTTATTTTAACAAATTAAAAACGTTTCAGTGATGTCAATTCAAAATGCAGTCAGATTTCTATTATGAAAAGGAAAAATGTTTTCCTCTTGACATCCTATCCTCTTGCATTATGGATTCAACTAATTTTAGATTTTTTTAATGGAACACTAAGCAGACATGTTTCTCTAGTAAGTTGCAATCCACAGTTGTGAACATTTGTTAATATGACGACTTAAAAAATTATGAGCATTTTGAAGTTGGAAGCAGAAAGATCATACATACGCTAAATCGCTCGGTTGCAAATCCTGCTGGATTTCATTCAAGTTCGTCCCTGCCAAGATACTTGAGAGAAGATATAACAATTCATGTGTCTATGTCTTGTCTGTCTCAAATTATATTACACGTTAAATATAAAATACATTTTTTTAGTTTTTACCTAATTTATATCTAATTTTTGTTAAAATTTTTTATCTAACTTAAAAAATTTTGGTTTTTGTATAATTTTTTATAAACTGTTAAATATTCAACTTAAAATTAATTGACAGTAGATGAAAAGATCTAAATTATAAAAAATTTAATATTTATTAGATATGAAATAATATCAATTTAGGTCCCATCACATGTAAGTGAATATAGAAGAAGCTTATCACAATAGAAAATGAAAGAGCCCATTTTGATTAAATATAAAATTACAAAAAATTAGATATTTATTAAATATAAATAATACCATGTTAACGTAAGTGATAGAACAGTATCACTATACTTTTAATTTTTATACTAGAATAAGGATTTAGAATATTTCACAGAATATTTGTTAATGTAAGCGACAAATTTACATCAATTTTGTTACTTTTTGTTCAAAAGTTAATAAAATTGAATTTACAATGACTAATTTAATCTTAATTCCATGAAATATTGATGTGAATAACATGAAATCAAAGAGAATATTAGAAGTATAAGAAGCAGTAAGATAATAAATTGAAGTTTCTTTGCTGTCAAACATATATTAATCTCAACCAGAACTATCAGCCACTGCTTTTTCAACATTTTGATACTTATACAACCTGGCACAACCAAGGTAATAACCAAAGTTAAGCACCCCCACCACAGTTAAGATCCAATACACATTATCTAGCCTCCCATTGTTTATATTATCGGGTAACCAGCTTGTAACCCTCCTGAGAAAATCAATTATAGCAGTGCTTAAGTAGAAAGAAATCCCAATGATCAAGGCAATCATAGCAGTTGCTGTGCTTCTTAGAGATGCTGGGAATTCTTGATAATAGAGTGCAACTTGTCCTGGAAAATGAAAGGCTTCCCCAATTCCAACCAAAACTAGTTGGGGAAACAGCCATAAAGCCAGCATAGGCACTATGGAAGTTGGTTGAGACTGGAGGTGGTGGACATGGACAATTTTGAGCCGTTTTGATTCCACCAATGCTGAGACGGCCATTCCTAGCACGTTTAACACGTGGCCTACACCGATTCGCTGGAGGGCTGATGGAGATTTCCTAGTCAGCTTCTGCCACATAGGACACAAGAATCGATCAATCAGAGTCAGAAAAATGGATGTGGAAATTAACACTACGACTAGGATAGAGCCGGCAGGGATTTTGAAATGTTGTCCAAGGTGACGATCCATGCTTAGAGCTTGGAGTATTGTGAGGCTGGCCTGGATTGCTATTGGAGTGCCTAAAAATATACTCGAAGACCATAACGGAATAATTCTGATCAAGGTTTTCAGATCTTCTACGTGTTGCACTGTGCAAAGACTCCATGGCTTTGCTATTGAGCTATCTGATCCAACGTCTCCTTCAGCTATTAATGATGCACAGTTGAGGACCCTACAACAAAAGATTGCAACTTTGCATTTAATTAACAAAAGTAGAAGGTTATTTTCGATTGCCAGTCATTTTTTTCATGTCAAACCCACATTTTATTGCCCACATTGACCACTACCTAGATATGGAATTGATGAATCTGATGTGGGTCACTCATGAATTGGTGATCTTCCTTGTAAAATGTTAGCAAAGATTTGGCACGATATGTGATCATGGCACCAGAAAGACTACTATTGTTATAACCAGACTAGGCTAAATTTATTCACAATCATGTACAAGTACATCATGTGCGCCACCTTGGACTCTAATATTTCCACTTATCTGTCCAACCAACACCACCACCAGGTCCTAATCCTGTACTCTGGATGAGTGCTATCAATATATATGTACGCAGATTCTATGAAATCATGAAGATCAAAGACTTTGCCCACCCAAAAGGATAAGAAAAAAAAAATTAGACAAGAAAGATCTGTCAGAAAAAAATATCTAAAGAAACGGGAAACCCGACAAAACGTGATGGCTTTAAGGAACACGGTGGGGCTCTCCACTCACTAAACCCTTTTTTTTTTTTTGAGTGAATGCATAGATTTTGACGGAACCGTTCAAGTTGACTATATACAATGTATAAAGTGGACGTTGTCCCCTAAGCTAGAAAAGGAGTCTTCACATTTTATTATTGTGAGTTTGTTAGTGGTTGAAAATATCAGTGAATTTTATTATTTATATTAGATTAGATAAAAAAATTTATAAAATAATTTTGGTGAATTAAGTATTTGATTGGTGACAAATTATTATAGCTAATTTTCATAAATTAAAATATAAATTATAAAACATAAAGTTTTGTTTGTTCACAAAAAATAGTTATAATTTTTTATGAATAAAAATAGTTATATTTAATTATTGATGAAATATTACAATTGATCACACAGAATAATAATGTTTAATTATTGATGAAATATTACATTTGTTCATCAAGAGTTATCTTATGAAATAACATGATAAAATGACATATATTTTCTTCAACTATATAAAAAATCTTTTTATAAAATCATTTTCATTATTTTTGCTTAAAATGTGTAGGGTTTTGTTGTATCCTTAGTATATTAAACTTTTAAGGAAAATGATCTACATGCATTAATGACATTTTACTTTCTTAATTTTTTTTCCCTTTTCTTCTTTCATTCTAATTTTCTAACGTTCCTTAATCCAAGACTTTTTATTTCTCAAATTTTACGAGAAATAGGGAAGATGAGGCTTGTTAGATTGCTGCTTTCAACTAATAAAGTCACATTAATGACATTAAAAATGTTTCGTAGTGAGAAAGAATATATAAATATATATATATATATATATATTTGTATATAGAGAGAGAATTTATCTGTTACTTTTCTAGGATGTAGGAGGAAAGGCAAATCTAAAGAGAAAATGACAGGAGAGGAAAGGAAAGAGTAAGAAAAGAAAGGAAATTGACCTGTTATATATAAGCAAAGGAACCTAGGAGTAGGAGCCCACATCCAAATTTGCTTCTTCTAGTGTTAATGTATGGAAGTAATGTTAATATGTGTCATACCTGAAACTGTTTTTAGGTGCTGCAGCCTCCATTGTCATCGGATGATTATGTTCATTGTAATAATCCTCGCCCATGGATGAGAGTGGTAAATTTCTTTTCTTAAAAGCAGCCACTATTACACGAGCTATATTCATAAATGGACTCCCTTGGGGCTTGTCATGCAAATAGAACCGGTTTCCCAACAAGAAAATGACTAAGCCAATGAAATTAGCAGCAACACATAGTCCAAAACCCACCCCCCAACTCACGTTGTCCTCAATATAGACTATAGCTGTGGAACTTACAACAGAGGCAGTGTATTGACTGAAGAAGTACCAATTGAAGAAAATCCCTTGTTGTTGGGACTTATGGAATTGGTTTGCTCCCATTGTTGCTAAAGTAAAACGCGTGCCTCCCTGACCAATAGATGCCAGAGCTATTCCTGCATAAAGAACAAGGAATTGAACCTTTGATGGGGCTTTGCAAAAGCTGGATCCATCATTACAGGGTTGAGGGCTCAATGAATTGAGTGTTGCGGTTAAGGCAAGAAAACCTGTGCCCTGAAAAGGGGAAATAAAAAAAAATGGATAACAGCAATAGATCTATCAAAAATGGACAAATCAATCACATGTTGAGCATGATAATTAACTTAGAATTATATAAATAGATCTATTTTCTCTTTGAAAATGCAGCGTGAGGTCCTGAGCTTAATGTATGATCATAGAAAACACATGCATGAAGGCAAACTTGGATATTGTAAAGGGAATTGAAAGGATTACCAGTAAAGAGATGCAGGAAAAAATTGAGACAACAGAGAAACAGCCCAAGAAAGAGTCAGCTATGATAGCTCCAACTATAGGAAACAGACTTGAGCCTCCATTCACTACATTCGAAACCTGAGCAGCATCAATGCTCTTTAAATTGAATACTTGAATCAAATATACGATGAGGTTCGCCACCCACCCTCCACCAGCCAGTGTCAAGCCTGCCAATGCCCCTGGATTGACATTATAGAAAAATTAAACATTATCAGCTACCATCACGCATGCATTTACAAAAAAATGACACATCTATGAATGGTGAAACAGAGTTAAGGGCATGCAAGAGGTGAGAAAGAGACCACTAATGAAGGGGAAGGTGATCCAGCCGCCTTGTTTGCGACCTGAATTTGGAGTTTGGATTTCTCTATCAAGGGTATCCATTTT